ATTCAGCCGCTGTTGAAACTGATCAGTTTCAGCAGCGGCTGAATCTGGATGCCAGTTCCGACTTACATACAGATTCAACATAAGAACAAACCTACAGTCCCTATCTTGTACGTAACCCGGGGACTGCCTGTACTAGATCCAGAAGGTCAGCTTAAAGTACACAACAAGAACTACATAAATAATGTAGCTGTAGTAGACACACCCTAAGCCGAGGTTGGCACTGTCTTCACAGTGGGAGGTCGACGGGAGCACACACTCTCATCGGCTTCTCTTACTCCTCGTGACTTCAAAGGATACCAGCACCAACTGGAGGCACCCTCAGCATTTGTTTTAGTGGGTTTTAACTAGACCTGTTAAATTGAATACCAGAAGATCGATCTTCAGTGCATAAGTACAGAGGTGACCTTTGATATATTCCCTGGCAAAGCTACTGGTCCTGATACTTTGATTCACTAAGAATACTAAATGCACCAAGGAAAGCTTATGTGGGATCCAGTATCCATACTGGGAGACTGTAATTCAATTAATGTCTAGCTATGGCTATGAACACAGCTGTATTTATTTCAAAATACACAGCTTCAGATACACATATATCCGGACATGATGTTGTTTTGGTTAAAGTCAAGGAAATCTCTCACTTAGTCTGATTCATCCTTGTACCAGCTTGCTATTTATTATTTTACAAGTACCCCACAGGGGTAGCCATGCTAGTCTATAACTTAACGCAAAAAACAATGAGTGGTCCTCTAGTTCCACTCTTTATTATTTTGAAATAAAGTGAGTTTTTTCAAAATAGCACAGCAGGGTAGACATGCCCTAAGGTACTATAGGACCTCTTGTTTTTAAAGTTTTTTTAAGTACCCCAAAGTTCATCTTTCAGAGTCCTAGTCACCTGCTAGTCTTTATTTAACTAAAGAAACATCACAAATAAGATAATTTAAATGAAAAAGGATAGAAAATGTCTTTATTTACTTAGAAAAATCAGGTCCCAGACATTTCCTCCAAGTCCAAAATGGTGCAGGGTAACTATCAGAGAAGCAAGTAATCTGTTTTGATGTTGACTGTATGATTACTTCAGGTTTTCCTGTAACAAACATAATACAAACAAATGTAAAACAATACTTTAGTCAATAATATAGTTATGTTTATAAGGTTACACTCAGGAGCGTGGAACAAGTTGTATAATGGGGGAGCTAAAAGCCATGAATAAAACCATCTCTATAACGGAAATAACTTCAAGGCAGGGAGTGCAGCTGCACCCCCAAATTCTTAATGCCAGCACCTATCACACCCAGACTACGTCTAGACTGGCATGATTTCCCGCAAATGCTTTTAACGGAAAAGTTTTCAGTTAAAAGCATTTGCGGAAAAGAGCGTCTAGATTGGCACGGACACTTTTCCGCAAAAGCACTTTTCGCAGAAAAGCGTCCATGGCCAATCTAGACGTGCTTTTGCACAAAAAAGCCCCGATTGCCATTTTCGCGATCAGGGCTTTTTTGTGCAAAACAAATCTGAGCTGTCTACACTGGCCCTTCTGCGCAAAAGTTTTGCGCAAAAGGGACTTTTGTCCAAATGGGAGCAGCATAGTATTTCCACAAAAAGCACTGATTTCTTACAGTAGGAAGTCGGTGCTTTTGCGGAAATTCAAGCGGCCAGTGTAGACAGCTGGCAAGTTTTTCCGGAAAAACGGCTGATTTTCCAGAAAAACTGGCCAGTCTAGACACAGCCCCAAAGTGATCAAAATCTACTTAGATATTTATAAAGCATTCCATCACCAGGGGGCATGTTAGTTAATCTCTACAGCACCTCTGTGAAATAGGTAAGTATTTTTAATTCCTTTTTATATATAATGGAATGGAGACAAAAAAGGTGAAGTAACTAAGCCAAGGTCTCTTAGTGAATCAGTGGCAGAGCCAGGATTAAAACTCAGGACTTCCTCATTCCTAACCCAACCCAACCATTCCTCCAAACTATGCTACAGATGAAGAGGCAAATTCTCATTGCCTGATCCCCACTGAAGAGCATTTCTTTTGTAAAGAGTTAATGTAAAGCAATGGCAATGATATTACTAACAATGTTTTCTTTATTTATGGCAGGGGTAGGGAACCTTTTTGGGTCGGGGGTCACTGACCCACAGAAAAATCAGTTGGGGACCACACAAGTAAGAAGCAAAAAAACTCCTCCCAAAATCTCCAGCCGTCAGGCTATGTCTAGACTGCAGGCTTCTTTTGGAAGAAGCTTTTCCGGAAGAGATCTACTTTGAAGTAGGAATAAGAGCCTCCGGAAAAGGGCGCTTTTTCCGGAGGATCGGGGCCAGTGTAGACGCTCTTTTCTGGCTTTTCTAAAAGCCGGAAAAAAGCGGCGGACATTTTTATTTAAATGCCGCGGGGGATATTTAAATCCCCCGCGCATTTCCCTACTACGATGGCTGAAATTAACATGCCCCTTCTGGAAAAGGGGCCAATGTAGACGAGCCCTCATAGTGTAGACATACCCTCACTGATGTACCCCCAAACTCCCTCTCGTGTCCCCACCCCACATCTTCTCCTGCCGCCAAACTCCCTTCCAGACTTTGCTCTTCTCAACCCGGCCTTGCATCCCTATTCCACTTGCTGGCAGCCCTGTCTTGTACATTGAACCCCTCATTTTTGTTCCCATCCCAGAGCCTAAGGGGGTCCACAAAATCCACTAACTCTGGAACCCCAAAAAGTACAAAAGTAAATCTGGTTTATGGGAAGCCCCAAACGTTAGTCCTCCCTGTCCCTTCTCCTCACCCCGTGGGGGTTGGAACACCACAGTAGTGAAGTGCCTTAGTCAGGGGCTACATCAGTGATGTAGGCTGGGGGGGTAACACAGAGAAGGTGAGAGGATGAGAATGCAGCCAAATAGCTAGTTGGGAAAGGAAGCAAAGAAATGGGGAGTAATGGAAAGTGCAGCTTCTGCAAAGCCAAATTGTATCCCCCCTCACCTCTTCTCTGAGCCCCATGATTCTCCTCGCCAGCCTGACCCCCTGTATCATCCCATGCTCCTAAGAGCAACCCCTCTTCCCTCCCATCCTGCCCCCGCATCCTCCTTTCCTCCCCTCCTTCCCCCACATCCCTGTGCCCCCAGCGCACTCACCGGACCGGCAGCAGTGCTGGGGTGAGTAGAGATGGGGGATGGGGACCAGAGTCTCTTCCCTGTGCAGGGGGAGGAGTAAGGCTGAGCTCCCGCCCCTCACACCAGTGAAAATCGGGTCGTGTGCTGACCGCTGATCTAGACCAAACCTGAGAGATGTCTGTCTATCTTGTTTTTAAATATCTCCAATGATAGAGATTCCTCAACCTCCCTAGGCAATTTATTCCAGTGCTTAACCACCTTAACGTTTATGAAGTTTTTCCTAATGTCCAACCTAAACCTCCCTTGCTGCAAATTAAGACCATTGCTTCTTGTCCTATCATGAGAGGTTAAGGAGAATAATTTTTCTCTCTCCTTCCTGTAACATCCTTTTAGGTACTTGAAATTTGCTATCATGTCCCCTCTCTGTCTTCTCTTTTCCAAACTAAACAAACCCAGTTCTTTCAATCTTCCCTCAAAGGTAATGTTTTCTAGACCTTTAATCATTTTTGTTGCTCTTCTCTTGATCTTCTCCAATTTTTCCACATCTTTCTTGAAATGTGGTGGCCAGAACTGGAGACAACACTCCAGTTGAGGCCTAATCAGTGCAGAGTAAAGGAGAAGAATTACTTCTCATGTCTTGCTCATAACACTCCTGTAAATGCATCCCAGAATGTTGTTTGCTTTTTTTGCAATAGTGTCACACTGTTGACTTATATTTAGCCTGTGGTCCATTACGACCCCTAGATCTTTCTCTGCAGTACTCCTTCCTAGACAGTCACTTCCCATTTTGTATTTGTGAAACTGTTTGGAGTATTTTGTATTTGTCCATATTGAATGTCATCCTTTTTACTTTTTACTTCAGACCATTTCTCCAGTTTGTCTAGATCACTTTGAATTATGACCTTGTCCTCCAAAGCACTTGCAACACCTCCCAGCTTGGTATTATCCACAAACTTTATAAGGATACTCTCTATGCCATTATCTAAATAGTTGATGAAGATATTGAACAGAACTAGTTCCAAAACTGATCCCTATGGAACCCCACTTGTTTTGCCCTTTCACCATGACTGTGAACCATTGATAACTACTCTGTGGGAAGGTTATCTAACCAGTTATATACCCACCTTATAGTAGCCCCACATATATTGTATTTCCTTAGTTTATTGATACATGATTGTATCAAATGTCTTACTAAATCTCATTATACTACGTCTCGTTATACTACGTCTACCGTTATACTACAAGCTTTATGCACAAGGCTTGCTGTCCTATCAAAGAAAGCTATTAGGGTGGTTTACATGATTTATTCTTGACAAATCCATGCTGTTACTTATCACCTTACTATTTTCTAGATGTTTGCAGATGGATTCCTTAATTATTTGCGTCATTATCTTTCCTGGCGCAAAAATTAAGCTACCTGGTCTGTAGCTTCCTGGGTTGTTCTTATTTCCCTTTTTATAGATGGGCACTATTTTTGCCCTTTTCCAGTCTTCTGGAATCCCTCCCGTTTGCCATGCCCTTCAAAGATAATGGGTAATGGCTCAGATATCTCCTTCATCAGCTAGGATGCATTTAATCAAGCTCTGATGACTTGAAGATACCTAACTTTTCTAAGTAATTTTAAACTTGTTCTTTTCCTATTTTAACTTCTGATTTTCACTGTCATTCACTATGGTAGGCATCCAATCACCACCAATCTTCTTAGTGAAAACCAAGACAAAGAAGTTGTTATGCGCCTGTGCCATTTCCACAGTTTCTGTTATTGTTTTTCTCTTTTCATTATGCAGTGTGATAAAATTTTGGTATTAATGATATGTCTCGGGGAATAAGAATTTTGATATGGATGTTAAACTTTATGGTAACGCTACTTCTCAGTTAATGCCTGTAAAAAAGATTTAAAGCTCACCGCTGCAGAGAAACTATAGCAAATTTGGTTTGCTGCATGAAAGGGGAAACTGAGGCATACCATCTCATGGCCTGAATGGCTGGATGCCAAAAGAACCATGACACCAAGGCTATGTCTACACTGTGGGGCTTTTCCGTGATACCAGAGGTATCTCAGAAAAACTGTGCTACGTCCAGGGAATGCGTTTGTTCTTCCACTTCTTTTCGCGGAAGAGGAAACGCACTCTTTTGGGGAGCCCTGTATTCCTCGTTTCACAAGGAATAAGGGCTCCTCCAAAAGAGGAGGCTTTCCATCTAGACAGGGCCAAATGGCAGAAAAGCCTCTTCCGGAAAAAACAATTGGAAAAAGCGATGCAAATTTATGGATGCAAATTGTGGAGCACAATTTGTATAGCTTTAGACCTAGCCTTGCAACTGCCTTTGAGATAGTCAGTGACTGACCCTTTTGCAGTAAACTAAGGGAGGAGGGATGACATTCTAGAACTTGAAGAAGCACCATGTAACCCAAGTTCCCCTAAGCTGTGCGGCTGCACGGCTGTGTAGCTTTCCATTAAGCCCTACACAAGAGCACAGGGTATCAGCAGAGAGAAATTTCTCTTCCCAAGCCCCAGCAGCTGTGCAGCATGGGATGTGGCTAGCTTTTCATCCCATTCTCCGGATGCTAAGGGAGTGAGGGGAAAGTACTTGCATTCTATGCTTGCCTCTTGCCCCTGGCTGGTAAAGGGAGCTTACCTGCCTGAAATTCCGCCCTTGCCCACTTTTATGGATTAAGTGTATTTTGCCTTTTTGAAGTAATATTAACTATTTCAGTTAGGCTGTGTCTACACTGGGCCACTTATTCCGGAAAATCAGCCGCTTTTCCGGAATAAGCTGCGAGCTGTCTACACTGGCCCTTGAATTTCCAGAAAAGCAACGACGCTCTACTGTACAAAATCAGCCGCTATTCTGGAAAAACTATTCTGCTCCCGCTCGGGCATAAGTCCTTATTCTGGAACACTGTTCCGGAAAAGGGCCAGTGTAGACAGCCCAGTAGTCTTTTCCGGAAAAAAGCCCCGATCGCGAAAATGGCGATCGGGGCTCTTTTCCGGAAAAGCACGTCTACATTGGCCACAGACGCTTTTCCGGAAAAAGGGCTTTTCCGGAAAAGCAGCCTGCCAATGTAGATGCTCCTTTTCCAGAAAAACTGAAAACGGAATAGTATTCCGTTTTAAGCATTTCCGGAAATTCATGCCAGTGTAGACACAGCCTTAGTGCCTGCTCAGTGTGGTTTTCTTAAGAAGTTTTCTTTTTCTTGTTCTATTTTTGTCCTTGCTCCGGGTGGCACACTAGAAGGAGGAATTCTTTGAAAATGGCTATTACCTGATTGTATCAGATGTCTGACATTTCTTTGGTATTTTCTGTTTGGTTATATATGGCTTGGAGATTTTTAGTTAACAAACCAGGCACATAGGACTTGATTCTCCTCTCACTTTGATGTAAATCAGGACTGCTTCTATTGAAATAAATGGAGCTCTATTGGCACAAAAGAGGCATAGGTTGCAGGTGAACGTGGCCTACAGAGTGTTCAGTAAGGATGAAACAAGAAGTATGAGGCTGTCTACACTGCCCTGCAGCTCAAATTAGAGAGTGCGAATAGCACCAAACTGCTGTGCTCTAACTTCCCTGTGTGGATGCTCTGGATGGTAACTAAAACGTTCCTAGTTCACATTGCCATAGTTTTCTTTAAACATTAATAAGAACTAGGGCCTGGTCTATACTTATCTAGAAGGTTGAATTAAGATACACAACTCCAGCTACCTTAATTGCATAGCTGGAGTTGACATACCTTAATTCAATCTTCTAGTTAGCTCAATTAAAAATAATAACAAAGGGTTTATACGGCATGGGCCAGAATTTGTGCCAACAGCTCTTCATTGTTATTTCTAGTTGTGCTGGATAGCACAGATATGCATATGTGAGCTGTAATCACACCTTGAATGGCAGTGTAGTTGCACTCTTACTGTATTCCAAAAGCTGCAATACGCAAATAAACCTTTTCCCCAAATAGGTGGCAGAAAGAAAAACAGACTTGTTTATGAGATGTGCAAATAACAACATACTTATATGGGAGACATTAGGAAACAGAAGACATTAGCGCACATATTTAATACTGATTACCTCTTAAAATTTCCATTCATCCAATCTATTTTTCTTCTTCTTTAAAAAGAGTTTGCTTTATTGTATGTTCTAATGTATTTGACATCTAGCTATACCTCACTCTTGAATATTTTAAAAATTCCTGACCTAGAATATGATACATTGTTACTTTTTTTGTAAAATGAAAGAGAGATGAAAATAACATAGGGGTGAAATCTTGACCTCATTGGAGTCAATGGCAAAATTTCTATTGATTGACTTCAAAGAGGTCAGGATTTCCCACCCACAGAGTTCATTAAACCTGTGCATTTTTACTTACGTTTTACATGCAACGTCATTGTTTTATTCACATACGTATCATCATTTTCTGCATAGAATACGTATTCCCCTGATTGATATTTATGATCACAGAACCTTGATGAAATGCTGTCGAGAAAAGAGGGGGGTGGGAAATGCTTAAGCAAGTTTACAAATCAGGATTCAATTTTTTTAAAAATCAAGTTAAAAAAGAATTCAAAAGAAAAATTTTCTGAATAAAGAAATATAAAAAGAGTCTTCAGATGTAATTATGTTCTCTGTGTGCTGTAATAAAAGGGAATGGGAGTGATTTTTAAACCTGTCCATTTGCTGGTTTTATTTTTGTCTGGAGTGTTGTCAGATTGGAAAGAGAGCTTTTACTGGTTCATCAGTGTTAGAAGAGTACTTAAGAGAGACGTAATTACTGGAGTTCTAGGGTAGAGATATCCTGATTTAAGAGAATAAGGATTGCTGACTAGAAGAGTTTCAGATGGTGAATAGGGGTCAAGAGGGCTGGCATTTGAGGAAAATCAATAACAGTCAGAAGAAAAGAAATAGACAAAATCAGCAGGTAAGTTTCAGAAGAATCATAGAATACTGGGACTGGAAGGGACCTTGAGAGGTCATTGAGTCCAGTCCCCTGCCCTCATGGCAGGACCAAGTACTGTCTAGACCATCCCTGATAGACATTTATCTCACCTAGTCTTAAATATCTCCAGGGATGGAGATTCCACAACCTCCCTGGGCATTTTATTCCAGTGTTTGACCACTCTGACAGTTAGGAACTTTTTCCTAATGTCTAACCTAACCCTCCCTTGCTGCAATTTAAGCCCATTGCTTCTTGTTCTATCCTCCGGGGCCAAGATGAACACGTTTTTTCCCTCCTCCTTATGACACCCTTTTAGATACCTGAAAACTGCTATCATGTCCCCCCTCATCTTCTCTTTTCTAAACTAAACAAGCCCAATTCTTTCAGCCTTCCTTCACAGGTCATGTTCTCTAGACCTTTACTCATTCTTGTTGCTCTTCTCTGGACCCTCTCCAATTTCTCCATATCTTTCTTGAAAGGAGGTGCCCAGAACTGGACACAATACTCTAACTGAGGCCTAATCAGCGCAGAGTAGAGTGGACGAATGTCTTGCTCACAACACACCTGTTAATGTATCCTAGAATCATGTTTGCTTTTTCTGCAACAGCATCACACTGTTGACTCATTCAACTTGTGGTCCACTATAACCCCTAAATCCCTTTCTGCTGTACTCCTTCCTAGATAGTCACTTCCCATTCTGTATGTGTGAAACTGATTGTTCCTTCCTAAATGGAGCACTTTGCATTTGTCTTCATTAAACTTCATCCTGTTTACCTCAGGCCATTTCTCCAATTTGTCCAGATGATTTTGAAATATGACCCTCTCCTCCAGAGCAGTTGCAACCCCTCCCAGCTTGGTATCATCTGCAAACTTAATAAGCGTACTTTCTATGCCAATATCTAAATCGTTGATGAAGTTATTGAACAGAACCGGTCCCAAAACAGACCCCTGCGGAACCCCACTTGTTATACCTTTCCAGCAGGATTGTGAACCATTAATAATTACTCTCTGTGTATGGTTATCCAGCCAGTGATGCACCCACTTTATAGTAGCCCCATCTAAGTTGTATTTGCCTAGTTTATTGACAAGAATATCATGCGAGACAGTATCAAACGCCTTACTAAAGTCTAGGTATACCACATCCACCGCTTCTCCCTTATCCACAAGACTCATTATCCTATCAAAGAAAGCTATCAGATTGGTATGACATGAGTCTTCTGGAATCTCTCCTGTCTCCCAGGATTTTCCAAAGATGATAGCTAGAGGCTCAGATACCTCCTCTATCAGCTCCTTGAGTATTCTAGGATGCATTTCATCAGGATCTGGTGACTTGCAGGCATCTAACTTTTCTAGGTGATTTTTAACTTGTTCTTTTTTTATTTTATCTTCTAAACCTACCCCCTTCCCACTAGCATTCACTATGTCAGGCATTCCTTCATCAGAGTTCGCAGTGAAGACCGAAACAAAGAAGTCATTTAGCATCTCTGCCATTTCTAAGTTTCCTGTTACTGTTTCTCCCTCCTCACTGACCAGTGGACCTACCCTGACCTTGGTCTTCCTTTTGCTTCTAATGTATTTATAAAAGTCTTCTTGTTTTCCTTATTCCCGTAGCTAGTTTGAGCTCATTTTGTGCCTTTGCCCTTCTAATCTTGCCCCTGCATTCCTGTGTTGAAGGAAGTATAGGCAGTCCCCGGGTTATGTACAAGATAGGGACTGTAGGTTTGTTCTTAAGTTGAATTTGTATGTAAGTCAGAACTGGTACAAATTGTAGGGGAAACTCTAGCCGAACATTTCTCCAGAGCTCAGTTTTATTCTCCCACACCTCACTTCCCTCAGTCCTTTATTCTGAAGCTGAGGTGTCTGCTGAGAAAAGCCGCTCCGCATCTCCCTGGTCTGCTGGGGGAGGGGGAACGCTAGCTTCGCGTCTCCCTGGTCTGCTGGGGGGAAGCAGCTAGTGCGGGGTTGCCTCACCCCGTTTGTAAGTAGGAATCCGATGTAAGTCGGATCCATGTAACCCGGGGACTGCCTGTACTCAGAACTGGAAAAGAAATTTAGAGAGGGTGGAAGAAACTGAGTAACTTTTATTAGATAAGACACAACCCAGAATTCCAAAGCCAGCCCATCCATATGTGGTTTTAAAGGAAGAAGATTCACACTGAAAAGATGGGTCATTTTGCCTGCTGACCGAGGCCAAGATTATCAGGAGTGATTATTGATTCTGGGTGGCTTAGCTTTAGAGTACTCAATCACAACACCTTCAAGGTAGCTAGGTGCTCTGCACTTTCTAAAAACTAAGCCCCCTTTAGAGTGTCTCAAGTTGGGCACCCAAACATCGGTACATCCAGAATCACTAGTCACAGGAAAGAAATAAGGAGAGCCTTTCACGAGTCATTTCTTTGGTGTCCACATGTAAGTTCAAGGAAAGGTGAGAGAACAAGATGTACATGAGATTATTTGCCTTCATGGAATTGATTCGCCCAGAATAAGGAAGTGAAAAGGAGCAGTTTGCCAAAGATACAGCTATGGCCTGTGTTATAAAGAGAGAACAGAAAACAGAATGTCTGTAAGAACATGGTGCTCTTAGCACTTAGAGGAACTAAAGATGGTGCCAAATTTTTTATAGCTTGAAATTAAATGTTAAGGAGCAAAGTTCATAGTACAAATTTACTATAAAATGCAATAAGGAAGAACAACTGGATAAGGAAATAACAGAAATTAAAAAAGGAAATAAAATAAATAAAAAGGATATGAAAGGAGCAAAGTAGAAGTGATGGAAGATATATTTACTCAACCATAAACTGAAATGTGCAAAACTGAAAAAAAAACCCACCAAATAAAAAATGTGTTATGGAACATGATTGTGTATTTATTTTTAATTTATTTACTCTTGTCCATTGATTCCATCTGCAAAATGGGTACAGTAATAATACTTAACTACCTGCTTTCCTATAGCAGCACTGTGTTGGCTGAAATCTGTAGAGTGCTTTGAAAATCTGAAGTGCTAAGTTTAACTATCTGGGATGTTGTAAATGAAAACTTTTTAAGAAAAATATTTAAATAAAACTGATCCACTTGGTTCAGTGCCATGGAGCACATGGGCAGCTATGTCCTATAATTGATGCAGCTCGACTAGGACTCAGTTACAAGAATCTTGCCTGGAGGTAACTAAGGTGTGAACAAACAAAACCACACCCACAATACACAGAAAAGGATGGGCTTTTCACAGATCTTGGCAATGGCGTCACCACGCCAGAGTATGACAGCAACATGCATTTCTATGCTGAAAAAGCAATCTAGAGTGACATCTGTAATCCTGAGCCCACATGGTGGCTCCACCCTCCTGGACATCAGAGTTCCTTAAACCATCTCAGAGTTCCTAAAAATGCTATTTATGACCCATGGGCTTCACTTTACCCGTCTGGGTTGAACCAGCTGTCTATCCTCCAAACACAACTGTCTGCCAGACAATCAGGAGGCAGTCTGCAATAGTTGGAAAGTAAATAAGCTGAGTATTATCAGCATTTAAGGATGAGTAATTGTTCATGACTACCTTTAGAGGGCTTTTCTCCAGAAATGATCTTAACCCCTAAAGAACAGATCAACCTACTCACACCAGAGACTGCTAATTAGTCACCAAGACCCAGTAATCAACTCTATCAAAGTCCACTGACAAACTAATGTTAAAGACATGTCTCTCGCCTCCATTGCCAGGAGAAGATAATTTACCAGGCTGAACTGTGCTGCCTTTGGTTATTTGGAGTCAGCCCTTCACATGGTACAACATGATTCAGGTGGATAGCCAAGTCTGTTACTAAATAGGACCAAAAAGGCTGGAGACTAAAGTGGAAGTGTAACAGAACAATAAAGCAAAGATAAAACGTGAAAGAAAAACTGCAAGAGAGTTTTAAGCAAATAAACATTTTAAGAATATGAGGAACAAGAAATCAGCATGGGAGCATTGTATCCTTTCAGACTTGGCATAGGCCATGCATAGACAAAAGGAGATAACATTGTTAAAAATTTAAACTTTTGCCTGCCTTTTCAAAAAGTTAGAGTTTAGAATGCAGTATGACTTTAGTTGCAAAGTTGAAAGGGAACACGGAAAGAAATTAGATTATGGTATCTGAAATTAGCCTGGAGAATGAATAAGTCTTTAGGACTAGACAAAATTCATGCCAGAATTATATTATAGGAAGTAGTAGAAAAGATACTTACACATTTGTTTTCCAAAAATTGATATGTAACATGGAAAAAAAATCCATTAACTGGATATGTAGTAAAATTTCTGTGATGTTACATGGTCTAAGGGAATCTACAAAAGGTCTGAGAAACTACATGCCAATAAGTTTGGCTTTAGCAGCCTGAAATATACTGGGAACATGAGACTTAGAATGAAATAAGACTTAGCAAACACCCAGAAGGCTATAATTGAGTCATGGATGATCAGAATGGGTTCATAGAAAGAGAATTATATCTAAGATCAATAAACGGAGTTTTCCAAGGATATAAAAATATAATTGAAAGAGGTATTATATGTGCACAATTTAGGAAAGGATTTGTCATAACACACAAGATTAATCAAATGGATAACACATTTACATGAGTTGCTTTTGAAGACTCAAGTAACATTATAGAACATTATGGCAACGCTGCTTTACCACTATATCAGTCTTTATATTTTAAAAATAACATATAACTTAAAACCAAAAGCCATAGTCTACATTTTAAAAGAAAAAAATGAACAAAGACGTCTATTTTAAGAGACAAAAAATAAAACAAGTATGTGTTCAAATTATAACAAATATTCAGAATAGTTAAGTACCTGTATCCATCTGCACTGTAATTTTGCTCACAAGGAAACGATTGTTGGGAAGAAATCCATATACATCTGATTGGTGGGTATACTTTAAGTTTGATTTCAAAACAAAACTTTTCCAACAGGTCAATCTCAAAATCTTCTCTCGAGTCAGTTACTTTTATAAATCCCTCTTCTATAAACAAAATGTTAAAATTCTGTTATAAAAGCTGTCTAATTAAGGAATTTTGAAAATACGCACATTTTTATTCTCATTAATTATTGCAAGTTATAAATGTCATAAAATCACTAGTGAACCCTCTGTCTACAAAAAGATAAGGTGTAATACATGCGATGCTGGTGTTCCACTCTAGTTTATATGTAAATGCTCTGTCTTTGAAAGAACCATTCTGATTGACTTGGTTAATTAAAGACACCCCTCCATCTTTCTGCCCCTCAGATCATTTTGAATCAACTACAGTAATCATCCTCTATAGATTTCTTCTGCTCAATTGTAAATACTTATTCCAAATGTTAATAAAGTTAGATTTATAAAATATAAAGTAATGCATTAATGCCGGTGTAAGTATCTCTTGATGACTGCCGTCATTTCTTACCTACAGAAGGATTACTTTGAAAAGAGAAAACAAACTATATATATCTACTTTTTTGGTCATTAACATGTGTATAAAATGAAAAAAGAGAAAAGTAACCTTCAAATGTATTAAAATGATCATTTAAAAAAATCTGCATCTGAAAGGGCCTGCTCCAAAGTTCACAGAAGTCAATGGAAGCCATGTCATTGGCATCAGGGGTCTTAGGATCAGGTCCATAAAAGGATAAAAAAAAGAGTTGTCGCAAATAATGAAGATCTGTGCTTTTCTTTTTAAATGGTTTTCTTCCGGCCATATCCACATGCTTTATAAAGCATAGTTTTCTGTATATGAAGCCCTCATTTAGCAAATAATATGGTGAAAATTACCACATAAACCATAAATGGGACAAAGCTTTTAAACAAGAAATGCTTCACGTTGTGTGAATTCTACAATTTTTGGGAGTTACAAGTTTCTTGGTACTGAGGAAAGTATTTTTCATCTTTTCAGATGGATCATATGAAGTTATACAGTGAGCACTATCCAAATAAATTAACTCTAAAAGTTAATGCCACATCACCCACAAGTACCTTGAAATAAAGTGACATAATTTCTCTCTGAAAAAATAAATAAAACAGTTTTTCCTCCTAACATTGAAAGGAAGGAGTGCATGAGTGAGTGAGCTGGTCTTCACAGCTATTTCTTTTCCTATTCACTTGTGGTGGCAGGTTTTGGATTTCTATTCAAAATGTCTGAAGAGTAATTACTTAGGAGCCATGGGAGTCAAGTTGAAACAGCAAAGTCTGAATATGATTCTTTCTTGTTTCTGTTATTATTTTTACCTTTGAACCTGGTATTTAGCATCTTAAAGCATTTATTTTACAATATATCATCTCTCCTGGAACAAAGATTGGATAATGTTCCAAATTCTTTATCCAATGCTGATAAAAAAAGGCATTAGTGCTAGGTAACATCCAGAAACTGGATGTGTGAATAACAGACGCGAAGAACCCTGCAGCTGTGATGGATGGCCTGGTTTCTGCTGTGTTTAAAAACCTCTCTGACAGACATGACAATCTGAGAATAAGACTAAAATTAAAAAGGTGAGATGTGCTGGCATACTTGAAAAGGAGGAGAGAGAGCAATTTATGCTGTTTTATGGAAGTATTTTCTTCCTACAATAATACTGCTCAGATCTCTTTTGTGACTGCCAGGAAGGAAATCTATCCATGCCATTCATCTACAAATAAAATTAATCGGGGTTGAGATTCTCCATGTTAATCAATGGGAACGTTAAATTTAGCTCATAGTTAAAATTTGGGATCCAAGGATGCTATGCTATCCCCCAGCCTTGAAGAAGATGAAGACAATCTTGTCTTATCTGTAAGAAGATGCCTCAGAGGCTGGGTTTGAATTTTTTCTTCCTTTAAACTTTGAATACCGCAGAGTGAACAGGCTATTGCATTTAGTTACCACGATACAGGCTCCAGAGACATATGTCCTTTCCTTACTTGGGGAGCAACAAAGGATAGTCTATAGGGGGTAAGGATGTAAGCAACTAATGGAGGGAGGTAGAGGCGTAGAGGGAACAGAGCGCAAACAGGGAATCAGTTGATTCCTGGCTCACGCCCGGTGTCCCCTCCCCCCCTCCCCCGCTGTGCTTTAGCCTTTTAAATGTATTAAGAGCTGTCAGGCTCTTAATACATTTAAAAGGCAGAGCTGCAGTGGGGTTAGCTCTTGGGGCCAGGAGCTAACCCCACTGCAGCTCTTCAGTTTTCCCCGCTTATTGACTAATCAACTAGTCGATTAATTGATTAAATGCAATTTAAGATCCCTAATGGGGGTAAAGACCCAGCTTACTTTACTCCTGTCCCAGAACAACAGGGACTCACTCTCTCTGGATCACGGTCTCTCCCCTTCTCCAGAGTGAGCACAACAATATGTTCCTTACTGTGGGTTCATGTGAAAGCCACCATGCAGCTTAATAAGATGACATGATGTTTGTAGAGCATCACTATAACATTTACAAACTATGGGAAAATTTTTGCCAGATATACACTGGTCAATGTTGCTTATTATGTATATTTGCTAGTGCAAATTATTAAATATTATACTATATCTTTAACAATAAAAAACAAGAATAGAAAATATTGCATCTGTAGAATGTGGCCAAGTTACTATTGCTTCAGAAACCTTAACTTTTGCATATTCTGGCTTTTTAAATTTTAACTGGACAACCCGAATTTTAATTTAAAATTGATCTCCTGAATTTATTAGAAGATCAACAGGATAATTCCAAAGGGTAGTTGGTCAAACCTGCACAGAAAGTTTTAATTACAGGAAACTTTGGGTATCTAAACACTCTAGAGAAGTCAAATACTTCATATCCCTCCCTCTGAAATGATCGTAGTTGCCATCTTTAATTATTTTGTTTCTGAAAATAATATTGCAAGAATTACATTATTGTGTAGCCTACATTTCAGATTAATGTTCTAGTGGTGTCACTCTCAGAAGTATTGTCCTTTGAGGAGTATAACAGGGGAGAAGGTGAGATTGTTGGGTACCTGCAGGGATATGGATAATTTAGGGTTGGCTTATCTCCATTTTCAACTTCAAGTAAAAAGAGTTTTCTTAATCACTGTAATCACATTGTATGTATATATAAGCAAACAGCTGAATGAGAGAAAAATAAGGCAACCAAGTTAACAACATGAATCTGAATTACCTAAGACTGTAACCAAAGCTGTTTTATTTGGATGTTCTGTAGAAGAACAGGTATAATGTCCACTATCACTTCGTCCCATCGATGAGGCAAATGCATAGAGAATCCGAACCATAGACAAGTCTTTTCGATAGGTTGATTCTTCAAACCAGCGTGCCTAGTTTTTAATAAAGATTTGTATTTAATATTGTGATACTGCCCATTATTCCTTATGCGAAAAGAATCATGTCTTATTACCTTCTTTAATTCTCTGTTTTCAAAATACCATTTCAATTTGAATGCATAGCTTTCATAAACTGCTCTACATCTTATTAATAATGGTTCCCCAACTTTAAGAAGTAATTCTGGTAAAGATGCTCCAAGATTTTCATTTAGATCTGCAAAATAAAAACACAACAATTAAACAATAAATGAAATAATTTCCCCCATAGTAAAATATAATTTATTTCAACCTTTTCTTCCCTTATTTTCACATTTGTAAGCATCTACATTTTGCAGCTATTGTTGTATTTGTAATTATAAAAGACTATTTTTCAAGATTTATATTTAATATTAAAATTAGTTATAATATTCTAACATTTAAATAAATAAAATCAAATTCTGTCCTGACTCAGAAATCCAGCAACAATCCTGAATTCACCCAGGATGCAACTTAGCACAGAATTAAGCCAAAGTAAGCTTATTTAAAAATCTGAATAGCAATATTACAAAAAATTAAAAGTTTTTTAAAATGAAAAGTAGATGTTAAAGATGTGTGAACATAGCACTTACTTATAAAATGTAAAATAATACAACAATTTGTTCTTAAATATATTTAGCATTAGCATTTAGAACATGGATGGTCTGTGAAGGGCTCAGAGCATAGGGAGGGTAGAGGGCATGCACCCCCAATCTCCCTAGCCCTAGAGCACTGGGGGGGAGGGAGAAGGGCAGGCTCTTGGGGTAGCAACACTCTGCCCCAGTGTGACTACAGCAGGCGTTCTGAGGATGGAGTGTAGGCAAGGCCAGGCTGGCGGTTTGAGAAGATAATGCCCTCCACTGCCTAGCATACCGGCCACCCATGATTTAGCAGATAAATATGATACAGAAATATAACAGCATTACATTAGTTTTGCCAGGTAATGTACTCTTAACATACTTATTCTAGTGATGACAAACTTACAGCCCAGTGTCGCAAACTTTACTCAAATCAATAGTGCATAATGTCAATGGAAGAATTAGGTCCCTATTTAAATAAAGCTTATAGTTATGTTACCTATTGTATATAGTTTAGTGCATTCTCTGCCCAGCTCATTAGTTGCGCAGCACTGTATGTCTGTTTGAAATAACGTATTTGGTGAAAATCCGTGTTGTACCTTCTGTACTCCATATACTTCCCCATTTCTTTTATGGTCTTTAAGATTTGAATTGGTGCAACTGTAATTACAGATACATTTATTTACTGAATCATTTAGTTAATCCCAAACAGATATCCAAGACATGAGAAAATACGAACAATAGAATGAAAACTGCCGTATTATATAGTTGAATAAAAGGAACTAGAAAATGTGGAGACTATGAAACAAAACAGAGTGGCACTGGAAATAGAGAAACTAACAAAGAAACAGAATGAGCTGATAATACCTGACTGACTACACTATTCATGCTTTTATTGGTAGGCGTAAACATCTGTAATTTTATGGAAGAAATGCAGGCTCCATTGAAGTTAATGGCAAAAATCAGGAAGCCCAGGATTTCATCCTACATCTCTGGGACTGCCCTGAACCCTGAATGTTGGACTATGAGCCTCTATTAGTTGAGTTAGAAGACACAATCCAGGTAGTCTGAAGGCATCTGAAGACTCATAAATCCATGAGTGGTCTAGGTATTTGAGAGGGACAGAGGTCCACATTACCACACATATATTCTGAATGAAAATATACTGAATGTATTCACCCATTACCTGATATGTTTCTTGGAAAATATTCATGTAACTAACAGAACTACTTATCATGCATAATTCCTAAAGCTAAAAGGAAAGGCAAACTTAGATATAACATTTCTAATTACACCCTTTCCATCTTCCACTCGTTCTCAAAAGTGCAAGGTTTTAGTAAAATGGAAAACAGAGGGCTATGGGGTTAGAAATACTCATTAGCTATGTCAAGTGAAAATACTTGGACTTTGGCCAAAAATTTTCAGATGACAGTGCCAAAAATCTCCAAAAGGATACATTGGCCACATTTTCCAAGAATACACTGCAGCTCATACAAAAATGTGAATTCACCCACTGAACTCACATACACTCAATTTTTGCATATAGGCTTTGGAGGAAACTTGTATGCATGTGAAATTTTATGGGAGCATCCATTGTATTCTCCTTTGAAAATCTGACCTCACCGTTCTCCTTCAGTTGTTCAAGTTCAATCATATAAAAATAAGTACACCATGCTGTAAGTCAGTTGGCTTAGGCAGACATCAAGACTTACATCTCAAAATTCAGTACACAAAAAACGTAACATTATATGCCCCATACCTGTCATCAGGTGTTCTGCAAAATAACCATTCAATAAGTGGTGGAGGGTAGCTTTCAGACATGCAGTTTATAATGGTCAAATTTTCACTTTTTACAAAATAAGGCTTCCTTGGTTTACCTATTAAAAGCAATGCAAATATTTTCAGACATGCTGTAATATTTTTGAAACATCATTATCCATCTTTTTAATGTTTAGGTCATTTTCAACACTTGTGTACTGGAAAGCAATATGCTTTATGTATGAGTTATAGATTCATAGAACAAACCAGTCTATCCCTTTAAATTATCTTCACAGTCTTCCTGAGGTAAAAATCCAACACTGACTTAGACATATATATAAGCAGTAGCTAGTCATAATTCTTGTTATAATAGAAAAATGACAGCAGGTGTCAGACTGTGATGGTTGATTGTATTATGCATAACAAAGTATCAGAAGAAACCAGGAGGCAAAAAAATCTACCCTGCGACACTCATAATTGACTCACAACAATAGCAGTAACTTCACTCAGAGCAATGTGCAACCATTCAAGAACAAAATTTGATCTTTGAGCTTTGAATTTTTCAAGTGATTTTAATGCCGGTGGAAAGTAGGGATGTAAAATCCAGTTTAACATTAAGTTTAACTGGTTAACTGATTAAACAAGAGGGGTTAAGAAGGCAGTTTTAGCCCGTTGTGCTGCAGTGGCCTTTCGTCCACAGCTGAACTGGAGCAGCCCTGGCAGGAGCTGCTTCAGCCCAGCTGTTCCAGCCCCACAGGGCTGCTGGCTTCCCGTCTGAATGGGCTGGGAGTTGGCAGCCTTGAGTGAGGGCGGGGGGAAGAGGGGTCTTCCCCATCCTCTCCCCTGCTGCTGCTTCTGCTTCTGTATGAGCCTGCTGATTTCCAGAAGTCGGCAGCCCTCTCCCCACACTGTTTCTCCCCCTCCCCCCACAGCTCCAGGCTGCTCTCAGCCCACACGGGCCAAGAGCCAAGAGCCAGGAGCCCCTCGTGGCTGGAGCAGCCTTTCACTCATGGCAGGTAGCAGGCAATTACCTGGTAAGCATCACCTGCTAAGAGTGATGCCTATCGGGTAACTGGTTAATCAGTTGCCTGTTCACATCCCTAGCGAAAAGTAAAGAATTGTTTGTCTAAGGTCCTCATTTGTATAAATTCTTCAGCCTTGACCTGGTAAATGTGTCACCTCCCTGGCCTCAAGGAACTGCCTCTAAGAATCAGAGGGTAATTTAGGGCCTGATTTTCAGAGGTATTCAATACCTGTAGCTTTCATTTACTTCATCTGTAGTTATGAGTTCTTGTACCTCTGAAAATCAGCTCTTGAATCTATTTTCATTATATTGTTTAAAAATACACT